ATATCTCCCGATAGGGAGCGCACATACTAGCGCTTTATTTGACAATGTAAAAACAATTTGTACTTCTTGAATTTCACACTTTTAGGTTACTATGAAGGATCGCGCAGCAGCAGAGCGAGCGTGCAAGGATCCAAATCCAATCATTGATGGACGGAAAGCGAATGTAAACCTCGCATATCTTGGGGCCAAGCCGCGTACGAACGTGCAGTTAGCAGGTGAGTGCTGCGCAAGACAGAATAGCTTTCACTCAAGATGCAGTTGCCTTGTTGAAAGAGCTCTAATCAACGCATGATAATGTATTTCGGCCACACTTGTCCAACCATTTCCATATCGTGGTACGCGATTGCTGTCTACTATATTTGTACACTTTCCTTTTTGCGCAGCCTTTGTGGAAAAGCGCCGTCAAAAGTGCTCGTACACTGAACGCTACAGATCCTTACGCAGTTTTCTGTGGCAGTGAAACATCTTGGCCCATTGCAGCACTGGCGAATCAAGTACAATTGCCTCTGCAGACGCAGCTACAAGCCCTGTTCCCCACACGTATCGGGTGAGTATAACTGAATGCTTTTTTGTTTGTGGTAACCTAAGCTACTGAGTAGCGCCACCGATGTGGTATCAGAACCAAGCCGTCCCTGCTGCAATCCGACGAATGCACCTTATTTTAGCTGTATGCTCTGTGGTTGAGACGGAATAGAGAAACAAACAAACGCACACAGTGCAAAATGTAAGGTTAAGCGTGCGTGTGCAGATTGATTCCATGCTGTGTGTGAGGGTGGCGGGCTTTGCAGATTCCTAGCCCGTCCACCTAGCCTGTCTAGCTAGGTGATCGTGGTGAGGTTGTCGAAAATCATTTTTCGGCATTTGATCCAACAAACCAACATAACTAGCTAGCTTGTGAGGTTGGCACGCAACGAGCAACCGTACATTGCCATTCCATTCACTCTCCTCTTTTGGCCACCCACAATTACCTAATTCTTTTCGCAACTAACAGCGATTCGTGCCGGCACGCATGTGCGTTTGGGGTGAGCTGCGTGTGAGCGTGAGCAACGTGCTTAGTGTTCATTTGCAG